GGAAATCAAATGATTTTGTAGAAACAGCTAAGCAAAGCTTTCAAGGAAATAAGAAGTGAGGTTTATTGCCTTAACTACTGGGGAAAAATGGCTTTGAGGTGGTTAGGATCCCTTTGCTAATGGGTGCTTACAGTCTTCTGTGGATTTAGAATTCTGTTCTATAGACCCAAAAGTCAGATTAAGAAAGTCATCCCTGAAGCTGCAAGGCTCCCCTGAAAATCTGTTCTCAATATAAGTCCCTGAAACCATGTTCAGAGTCTCCAAATACCAGCTTTTGTGTCTCCCCGATAAAACTTGAACTGATGGACTGTGACAAACATTCAGGAACTTGAATCAAGTTGGTTGGATCTAGAACTGGACACGTACCATCAATGTATGGCTGTTAGTAATTCAGTTTCATCAAAAAGAAATCCAGTGAATGTCAGAAGTTATCATATTCCATCCTTTGTTACCAGAACTTTGGTCCACTGGGGTTGTTTTGCCCCCTTGGACTTTACAAGAAAATCACTGCAGAAACCTTTCTTTTAGTGTTGTGAGAGTTTGCGTGTGGATGTTAAGGGGACATAGTCTAATTTCAGATCATAGCTTAGATGTTAATCAATATTTAGCACTTACTTCAAGAATAAATTTTGTTCATAATAAACAGATTATTTTGAGTTTATTAAAGAAGCCTGGTGGAAAAAAATTCTTTTATTCTGTATGGTGGTATGTGCAGAAGCATTGGCTATTTTGGTAACTGAGTAATGATGTACCTAATGGAATAGTAGAGTTTGATTATCATGCACTCCTTCTGTAACAGGTATAAGACAGTTGAGGAGCACTGCTGAAGGAATAACTGGGGTCAAATATTTTGGCAGGAACAGGCACTTTGATATGACGGGCACCTACCAGAGTGTGGACGGGGAGTGTAAGAGAAGCAAGGTTGAGTAGCTTCTTCTAAGGTTTGTTGCAGCCCCAAGATGAAATAGCATTCTGAAAGAACCCTGTAAAGGAGATCAATCAGGCTAAATTCCAGAAGGGTCACTGGACTTGAAATGTCTCGACAGATGCTGCCAGACCTGCTGAGTTTCAAAATACAGACCTAAGTCTTCAGGAATCCAGAGCAAGAACCAACCCAAGGATCCCCAGGTGAGGTCCACATATGTAATCCAGGAAGTGAGGATGTCTAGTTCTCAATGATGTGGAGGTGCTGGTGTTGGACTGGAGTGGACAAGGTCAAACGTCACATGACACCAGGTTATAGTCCAACAGGTTTGTTTAAAATCACAAGCTTTTAGACAGCAGCCCCATCGTCAGGTGAAGTGAAGAGAGCACCCAGGCACAGACTTTACAATCAGAGAGATCAAAAGATCATTCAAATGGTGTGAGTGGAGTGTCGACAGGCTGAATAACAAGTCTCTGCAGGTGATCAGGAGTATCAGATGGTGTGAGTAAAGTGTCAATAGTTGAATAACAAGTGAAGGGATGGCCTATAACCCGATTAAATGAGGCAGAGGGACAATTACAAAAAATTGAAAGTAAGGTGGTGCTGGAGAAAAACCAAATGACTGGAATAACATGCTAGGTTTAGGAGTCACATGCCGACGGTTGAACCAAGGTAACAAGTAACCCAAAAACTGCACAAACGAATTAAGATGGAGTGATCTCAAGAAGTTATTGAGGTGATGGTGTCAAAACAGGACAGTAAGGAAGATTTTACAGAAGAGTGTGGTGGGGTCACGTATAGTGCGACATGAACCCAAGATCATGGTTGAGGCCGTCTTCACGGGTACAGAACTTGGCTATCAGTTTCTGTTTGGCAATTCTACGTTCTTCTGTATCTTGAAGGCTGCCTTGGAGGATGCTTACCTGAAGACCGGAAGCTGAATGTCCTTGACCACTGAAGTGTTTCCCGTCTAGCGATTGTTGCGCAGTGTCCGTTCATCTGTTGTCTTAGCGTCTGCATGGTCTTGCCAAACAGAAACTGATAGCTAAGTTCCATACCCATGAAGACGGCTTCAACGTGATCTTGGGTTCATGCCATGCTACACGTGACCTCACCATATGTTCTACAAAATTTTCGTTACTGTCCTGTTTTGACATCATCACCTCGACAACTTGTTATGATCTCTCTACTTTAATTAGTTTGTACAGTTTTGGATTACTTGTTACTTTGGTGAGATCCTCGGCATGCGACTCCTTAACCTAGCATGCTATTCCAGTCATTTGGTTTTTCTCCATCACCACTTTATTTTTAATTTTTGTAATTATCTCTCTGCCCTCAATTAATCAGATTATAGGTCATTCATTCACTTGTTATCCAGCTGTTGACGCTTTACTCACACCATCTGACATGTTTGATTACCTGCAGACCTATTATTTGGCCTGTTGACACTCCACTCACACAATTTGTATGATCTTTTGATCTGTCTGATTATAAAGTCTATGCCTGGGTGCACTCTTCACTTCACCTGATGAAAGGGAAACGCTTCGAAAGCTTGTGATTTCAAATAAACCTGTTGGATTATAACCTGGCGTCATCTGACTTTTGACCTGGTTTTTAATGCATCAAGACTGCCAGGTGCAAAACCTATACCTGAGCTCTGCTAATTCCTTACCTAGGAATTCTGACATTCCAGCCATAGCCCCTTTTTCTGAAATATGGGTACACATCTATAGTAAGTTGCAGGTTCTGCCTCAAAATAAAAATGTATAACAGTACATCTCAGGACTGATCTAAGTCACAGGCTTTACTGTGCACCCTTACTGGACTTGAAGGAAAGCAACAGATGACCTGAGGATTTTTGATTAATTTAAAAATCCAAATTATTAGGCTGCAGTTTAGTGAGATCTTAAAATTTGAAGAAACTCTTGAACCTGACTCTACTCAGCCCTCTTCCAAATTTAGTGGAGATGAGGGCAGGATGCTGCCAAAAGGTAAGATAGCCATTTAAGGAATCTGAAGAAACTGGGAGCCTCATACTTAAAATCAGTTTTTAACCCAGAAACTCATCTATTATGTGACAATTTATTTTCTTTGTCATCACAGTATGTTCTCAAATGCTCTACAGTCAATTATGTGCTTTGGCAATGTAGTCACTGCTGTCAAATTGGGCTAAGCAATATTCCACATAACAACCACATAACCTGTTTTATAAATATGGGAGATAAACATTATTCAGGACACTCGGGATAAACCTTCCTCTAAACAAAATAGTAGCAGCCGTATCTTGATTTAGTGTTTCACCTGAAAGACAATATGTCTGGCATTGCAGCACTCCTCAGTACTCCAATGAACGGTTCATCTAGACTTTTACATACATCTCTGAAATGGATCTTGAAATACCATAACATCTTTGATTCCTACATGAGATATGAGTATGTCTGGCTAAACCTGTATTTATTACCAAAATGCCCGTTGAACTGGAGAAGGTAGAAGTGAGCTGCTTTCTTGAACCGCAGCAGTTCTTGGGGCGTTGGGACATCCACAGCACAGTTAGGTAGAGAGTTCATGATTTTAACCTGGATACAGTGAACAAATAGTAAAATAATTGCAAGTCAGGATGGTGGGTGGCTTGGGAGAGGAACTTGCAAGTGATGTTTTTCCCTTGTATCTGCTGCCTGTGTCCTTCTAGGCGGTAGAGGTCACAGTTGTTGTTGAAGGAGCTTTGGTGAGGTACTGCAATGCATCTTGTACATGCTATGCATGCTGCTACATTGAGTCAGTGGTAAAAGAAGTGAATGTTGAAGGTGACGAATGGGGTACCAATTAAGCAGGCTGCTGTGTCTTGGATGGTGTAAAGCTTCTTGTGTGTTGTTGGAGCTGCACTCATCTAGGCAAGTAAAGTGTTCCATCACATCCCTGACTCGTGCCTTGTAGATAGTGGATAGGGTTTTGGGAGACGGGGTGAGTTACTCATTTCAGGATTCCCAGTCTTTTAACTGCTCTTGCAGCCACAGTATTTATATGGCTGGTCTAGTTCAGTTTCTGGTCATTGATAACACCCAGGAGGTTGATAGTAAGGCATTCAATTATGACAATGCGTTTATATGGCAAAGAATGATGATTGTTGTCGAGAGTGATTGCCTGGCACTTCTGTGGTACAAATCAGTATCTCAGGAGTTGCAAATGGTGTTGAACACTGTTCAGTCATCAGACAGTCGCACTTCTGACCTTATGATGGAGGGAAAGTCATTGATGAAGCAATTGAAGATGGATGGTCTGAGGACACTACCCTGAGGAACTCCTGCAGAGATGTCCTGGTGCTGAGATGACTGACCTCCAGCAACCACAGCCATCTTTCTTTGTGCTAAGTATGATTCCATCTAGCAGACAGTTTTCTCCTGATTCCCACTGACTGCAGTTTTGCTACGGCTTCTTGATGCCACACTCAGTCGAATGCTGCTTTTGATCTCAAGGGCAATCAATCTCACCTCACCTCTGGAGTTCAGCTCTTTTGTTCATGTTTTGATCAAGGCGATAACAAAGTCAGAAGCTAAGTGACCCTGGTGGAACCCAAACTTAGTATCAGTGAACAAGTTATTCCATTGCAAGTTCAGCCTGGCAGAAGTCAATGTCCACTTCTACCGCTTTACTGATGATTTGGAATAGACTGATTGATTGCTAATTGGCCCAGTTGGATATGTCCTGCTTTTTGGTGAAGAGAACATACCTGAGCAATTTTCCACATTGTAGATAGATGCCAGTCTTGTAGCTGTATTGGAACAGCTTGGTTTAGGGCAAGTTCTAGAGCACATGTCCGCAATACCTTTGCTAGAATATCAACAATTGGAGATGTTTTCACTTAGGGATGAGTATGCTACTACTGAGCCACACTTGACCGCATGAGAACTTTATACATTTAGCATTTGACAAGTTGTTGGTAAGACATTTCACTAACTCTACAGAAAGAAAACTTCAGTCATATGTAAAATGCAAAACAGTCTATTAAATGAATCACATTTGAGGTGTTCCCTTAAACGTAAGTAAAGCTTCCAGGGGTATCATTATGTTAGCTTACCGTTCCACACATTCTTTAACGACAGCAAAATTCCCATCTCCAATCACCTTTCCAACTTTATATTTATCAAGAATAGTTGAAGCTGGCAAGGATCTATTTCCATTCACACCTGTGGAAGGTTCAAAGAAAATCTAGGTCATAATTTTCAGGTCTAACTGTACCACTATCTCCACATTAACCAAGGGGAAAAAAGTCCATTATCAGGGATCCATTGATTTTCTTTGTGAGCCTTTCTACAGAAATAGCTTGTTTTCGTTTGATAGCCTACTAGAACATTTTGACATAATTCTTTGTTCAACAGCATTTGCTTGCACTCATCTGCAATGATCTGCATTCCAAAATGTTCATTCAGTCATTGGCCAAGATCTAGCAGGGATCTATTGAAATCAATAACCCTGAAAGGAAATCACATGGTCCTTGAACCAAATCCATTGCAACCGTTTTGCCTTTAAAGCAGACAGCAGAGTTCAATTGTAATCGTTGGAAATTAACTAACAAAGAATGAAGCTTAGTCAAAAGCACCAAGGAACTAAGCAAGGCATCCTTAGTCTGGACATGGTCATGGCAAAAATTCTAAGTTAGAGAACACAAAATTTTAGGCATTGCTACTAAGTCCCAGCTGCAGTAATACGTGATGGTTTAACATAGATGAATCACCGTAGAGATCATTACCATGTTATCTGGCATTCTTAATGTATTTTATTATTATAGCCCACCTCCCTTCTATTCACTACATTCCTCCCCTACTCCACCCCTCTCTTACCCCCTTCCTCTCCCACATTCCTATTCCCTTTCCTCCACTCTGCCAATCTTCTCTCTCTCAACCACTTCCCCCTCCTCATCTCCCTCCTCCTTCTCTCAACTCCCTCAACTCACCACCTGTTCCTGTTCCCATCCCTTCATGGCCCCAATGCTCAGGTTCATGTCAGATGGAAGTTGAGTTATGCTTTGAGATTGTTCTGGGTTGGTTCACCCACTGCCCGTAGCAAATGTGTGGAATGGAGGCAGCAACAGTTAAGTAGGCTTGGGATGCTGGTTTGGTGAGACACAGCTGTTCCAGTGCAACCAAGTCTCAGGTTTGTGGAGGAGGAGGAGAGACCTGAGCCTTTGTGGCAGGGGTGGGGGACTGATAGGAAGGGAATCTCCTGAGCCTGGGGAAAGGAAAGAAGTGGTTCAAGTCTGAAGAAGATGGGAGGGTCCCAAACCTGGGGAGAGGAGAGGAAGTGTTTCAAATCTGGAGTGGAGGGGAGGCAAGACCCAGAGGGGATAGGGTGGATGTAAAGGGATGGTCCCAAGCCTGGGAGATTCGGGGAAAGGCTGTAGTCCTGAACATGGGAATTAGATAGTTGTATTCCTGAGACAGGGGAGGGAGTGGGGATTGGAGTCCAGAGACTGAAGGGAAGGCAGAACAGGTTAGTGCTGAGATTCAGGGATCTGGAGGGTGGCCAAGCATAGAGGCATGTTTCTAACAGGCCTGAAGAGGCTTGTAGCAGAGTTGTGAGGTCATTACTTCTGGCAGGGAAGGGTTTTAGTAGAGAATTGGAAGGGTGGAGTGAACTACAAGATTTTGGTTCTTTGCCGTGTTTTGAACTGTAAAGGTTTTCATTAAAGTATTTTCAGGATGGCAAGGTGTAACTAGTTGAATGCCAGAGGATCAGTGCAGGGATTACAATTATTTATAATATATATAAATGACTTGGATGATAGAAGTGATTATACTAGAGACACGTTTGAGGATGACACAAAGAGTCTGCACAGGGACGAAGACAAGTTAAGCAAGTGGGCAAAAAATTGGCAGATGGAATATAATGTAGGAAAATGTGAGGCTACGCACTTTATTAGGAAAAATACAGGAGCTGTTATTGCACAGAGGATTTAGGAGTGCTTGGGCATAAATCACAAATAGCGAGCATCCAAATTCAATGGATAATAGAGATAGCAAATGGAATGTTGGCCTTTATTTCAAAGGGAATAGAGTATAAAAAGTGAAGTCTTTCTAAAACTATACGTGGCACTAGTGTGAAGATAAAATGGGTCTGTGAGGTGTATTTTGTCCTGTTTTTCTTCATGCAGAGAAGTTGAGACAGAGGTACCAAGCAGTCTGTTCCAAGTTAACAAAATGAACAGCATGTGAAGCCTTAGGTTGTTTTTTAAAAGTTGGAACAATCAAAGCAGCATGAGTAGGTGGGGTCAGGCTCCCACAGAGCCAGGATTTTAGTTTAGCTTTCAGCAGTGCTGGATCTAGAAGCTGTTATTCCTCTCTCTGTTTCAACTAAAAGCTGGAGTTCTCTCTGCTGCTAGAATTGCATGTCTGACAATCTATTTTATTGAATTTGCCTTTGCCAAAGTCATGTTTATGGAATGTTATTATATTGGAACTGTTGCTGTTTAATAGTTAAATAATCTATTATTCTGTTAAGTTTTCCAATAGAGTTAAAGTTAGATCAATTATATGATCTTTTGTTTGAACTTTAACTGTAGAGTAAGAATAAAGTACGTTTGCTTAAAGCCGAGTCACGTAAAAAATTAAATTACATCTGGAATACAGCACCTTACACTTAAATAAGAAAAGTTAGGGTCTACGCTATCTCTTTGTTATATTTGAAGGGGGATTAGTCTGATCCATAACACTAATCAGAACACAACGGGAATACTGTAAACAGTTTTGGTACCCTTAACTAAGAAAGGCCAAACTAGCATTGGAGGGAGTCTCGAGAATGTTCACTAGGTTGATACCAGTTATGGTGGGACTATGTTAGAAGGAGAGTTTGAGTTGGTTGGGTGTGTATGGATTGGAGTTCAGAAGAAGGAGAAGTGGCTTAATTAAAACATAAGATTCTCAGTAGACTGGACAGGGTGGGTGCAAAAAGGTTGTCTCCCCTTATGGGTGAGACTGGAGTATCGGGCATATTTTCAGAATAAGGGGCTACCCATTTAAGATAGAGATGAGGAGGAATTTCTTTTCTCAAAAGATTATACATCTGTGGAATTCATTATCACAGAGGACTGTAGAGGCTGGGTCATTAAGTATATTCAAGGATGAGATAGACAGATTTTTAGTCAGTAAGGGAATCAAGGGTTATGGGGAAAATGGTGCTGAGGATTATCAGATGAGCCATGATCTCACTAAGTGGTGGAGTGGACTTGATGGGCTAAATCTACATCATATGGCTTTAAGAAAGTTAAAAATATTTTATTCACAATATATTTTTATCCGTTTCTGATCTTGTCCCTGTAAGAGTAAACTTTGATGGGATGTCCAGTTTCCTTGGTTGTAGTGCAGCCTGGATGTTGAAGAGAACCATGCCTTGGGCTATGGTGGCTTAGCAGCCAAATAGACAAGGACTGAAAGCAAGGGAGTACCAGAATTTTCATTCAGAGGCCTTGAAGTAACAGTGATGCAGTTCCAAGTCACGATAGTGCCTGGCTTGAAGGTTAGTTGCACGTGGTAGAGCTCTCCGGCATCTGTTGGTTTCTGACTTTCCAGGTAGGCGAGGTCATGAGTTTGGAGTGTGCTGTCAAAGGAGTGTTGGCAGATAGGCGTGTCATTCGTTTTTGTTTCTCATTATATACAATTAAACTTATTTCCACTGTCTTATACATCTCTTAATGTTGCTGCACATATTTTATTACTTATGACGTTGACTTTTGTTATCATCCCCTCACCTCTGCTCCTCATCAGAGTTAGTGAGTCTGGCAGAGTGGACACAGAGGTCTCCTTGGTGTCGTGGGTGAGAGTGCAGGCACAGAGGTCACTGTGGCAAAGTGGATACAAAGATCACTCTGATAGAGTGGCACAGAGGTTACCCTGGCAGGGTCCACTCTGACAGAGGGGCCAGAGAATGACCAGAGAGAAATGCAGCATGCCAATTGTATTGGAAAGTGCAAAGGAAGCTCTTAGAAAAAAATGTTGAGAAAAGGAGAAAAAATTTGTATACCTTTATTCAAATCATATCATGGAGGAAGCTGTATTTGGTAACTCATGCCCACTTCTCCAAAATATGACAAGTTGTGAACAGTTTTGAACTCATGACTCTGGACCATAATGTTAAATGAGCACTTATCTGTGATCAAGACTTGTTCCAAAGTACACATTTTGATTTTAAATGATGTACTGATATATTTGAACTGCCATCGAACATAGATGCTATGACAATATTTTCTGATTGGGTACATTCCTTCATCCAAATCATTGATGAAAAGTGTCGTGAGAAGTTAGATTGATATTTTAACCTTCAGAAATGAATAACGATTGCTTCATGCTAGCAGTAAACTGATGTCTCCTCACAATAACATTTTTATTTTTTAGTTATTTACTGTCTTAGGTAGTCATATTGTCTCCTTTATAAGTATCTCCATAGCACACAGCACATTATCTGAGGAGATAATGATGATGTTCAGTTGGATTTCCTTGTCCTGAATTGATCGGTGCAAAATTGAGAATGGAATATAAGTATATCCTAAGCAATCACGGCTAGTTCATACACAGTCTACAACTTATTGCACTGTCACATATTTCTTCCCAAAGCCACATGTCACTCTTCTGATGTTACAGAACACTAATTTCCTTCTCTTAACTCGTCTGAAATTTTAAAATACTCTACAGTCCTCAATCCTGCTCCTCAATTGTTATTGACTAAGCTTCTTTTGAACAATTGAAATAGGAACAGGAGTAGACCATTCAGTCATTGAGCCCATTCCAACATTCAGTTTGATCATGGCTAACCTATGCCTCACCTACCATTTACCCACTTCTGCCCCATATCCCTGACACCCATACTGATTAAAAATATATCAATCTCGGTCTTCAAAGCTTGCATTGTTTTAGCATCGACAGTTTTTTAAGAGACAGAATTCCTGATTCCTAACATATTTTGCGTTAAAAAGTGCTTTCTGATTTCACTCCTGAACAGACTGGCTGCAATTTTAAAGTATGTCCTCTTGTTCTTGATTTCCCCAACAGATGAAATACTTTATTGCACCTCCCATACTGAATTGTTGTACATTTAAAACAAAAATGATCAGATCATCCTTCAATCTTCAATACTTGTGCCATGTTTACGCTTTCAAACTTCAAACCTATAAGTGCCAGCATCACTCTAAGGAATC